TCCTCAGCACACTGGGATTACAGGTGTGTACCACCCTGCCTAGCTTTTTAAAGGTGAATTCTGGGGCTTGAACTCCGGGCTTCATGCTCGCATGTTGAATACTTTACAAACTGGGCTATCTCCCCAATGTTTAAATTCTAAATTGTAATTTATGATAAAATTAAACATGTGAGGAAGCTGGAGAGGTGGCTCAGTGGCTAAGAGCATTGGCTGCTCCTGCAGAGGGCACAGATTTGGTTCTCAGCACCCATATGGCAGCTAACAACCATCTGTAATTCCATTTCCAGGGGGATCCAATGCCCTCTTCTGGCTTCTTCAGGTATTACAGACACATGGTGCACTTATATACATTCAGTCAAAACACACACAAAAAAATTTTAATCTAATTATTAAGGAGCAAATTTTTATGCTTTGAAGAATTATTTTTTAATCGTTGTACTTTTTAAATTTTTTAATAACTACATGATTAGAAGCTTTTCATTACAGCTTTAACATATTCAGTAACACACTCCAGAGCAACAGTACATCTCTTTCACAGGTGGGTGCAAGTTTCTAGGTTCACAGTTGAATTAATATAGGTATACAATATTGAACTCAGTATAAGCCCTGCAAGACATAAAACTGGATGAGTTTTTAACCTTTAAAAAAAAAATCTCCATTTCATTTTAGAATATATTGTTCCTTGCAGACAGACTGATAGTCTGTATCTTCTTAGGAAAATGCCTATCAAATCACTTGAGCATTTAAAAATAATTTTAAATGTATTTTTATTTTATATGTATGAGTGTTTTGTCCATATATAAGTGCACCTGTTATGCAATGCCCACGGAGGCCAGAAAAGGATGTTCGATCTCCTGGAACTGGAGTTACAGATGTTAGGCACCATGTAGGTGCTAGGAACTGAACCCAGGTTCTCTACAAGAGTGGCCAGTGCTCTTAACTGCTGAGACATCTCTCCAACCCCCTACTGGGCATTTTTTAAATTGGGCTATCTTATTGATTTTAAAGAGTTCTTTATATATTCTGGTCAGCGAGATGGTTCAGCAGATAAATATGCTTGTTGCCGATGATAACCTTGAGTTCAATACGCTGGGCTCACGTGATGGAAAGAAAGAACCAACTCCCCCAAGCTGTCCTCTAATCTTCTTCACTTGTGTGCTGGGGCATATGAGTGCATGCAAACACATACAAAAAAATGTAATAAATTCTTTACATATGCTAAATACAAGTAAATCTTTTATCAGATATATAATCTGCAAATACTTTCTGTCTGGCTTATCTTTTCACTCTTAACAGTGTTCTTTAAGCCCTCAAAGATATTTAATTTTAATGAAATCCAGTGTATTTTCTTTAAAAGTTTTTATTTTTATGTGTATGAGTGTTATGTCTACATGTATAAGTGCACCCATATCGTGCAGTGCCCATGGAGGACAGAAGACAGTGTTAGATCCCCTGGAACTGGAGTTATGGATGGTTGTTAGCCACCATGTGGGTGTGGGATTCAAATCTGAGTCTCTGCAAGAGCAGCCGGTGCTCTTAACCACTGAGCCATTTCTCCAGCCCCCAATTTATTTTCTTAATGAGCTTTCCTTAATGAGCAATGTAGTCTTTGTCTAACCCACGATTATGCAGATTCATGTATTTTCTTCAAGAAGTTGTATAGCAGTGCTGTTAAATCTGCAAGGTAAGATTTCCCTCACTCTCCTGTCTCTTGTTTTTTTCCTTTTAAAGTATGGCTATCCCAGCACCATTTATTGCAAATTGTCTTTTCTCCCATTGAATTATCTTAGCACCTCGTCAGTTGGTCAACTGCCTGTTTTCTGAACTGTTGTTCCACCTCTCTGTAAGTCTACTGCTATGCCAACAAAAGGCTGCCCTGATGTGGCTTTCCAGTAAATTTCAGTAGAAATGGGATAGAGTAATTCAATTTTGTTCTCTTTTTAAATCATTTTAGCTATTTTTAGATACTTTGTCTTTCCATTTAACTTTAAGGATATACTATTCACTTAAAACATAGCCTGTAGGGCTATTTATACCATTTGCATTTATAAAACACTTCAGGTCCCTCTAACTCATGGAGTCTCCCCCCATTTATTTGTCTTCCTCACAGCAGTATCTTTTCCAGCAAGATAAATTTATTCAGTTTGATTCTGTTCTGAGTGGAGTTAAATTGGCCTGGAGCCATCTATGTAGATGAGGCTGGGCTGGCCTTGAACTCACAGAGATGAGCCTGTCTCTGCAAAGTACACCACTACATCTGGCTATGTTTCTTTCTAATCTGAACACTTTTAGTCACTTTTGAGAGAGGGAGTGTGTGGCTCCACTGCATCACTGAATAGAAATGACAGTAAAAGCTGGAGATGGGTCCACAATTCAGACTATTAACTACTTCAGAGGACCCACAACCCCCTGTAACTCCAGCTTTGGGAAATCTGAGGCCCTCTCCTGGCCTCTGCAGGCACCTGCACTCATGCACATAATCCACACAGATGCACATAATTGAAAAGAATCTATGATTTTTAAAAAATGAAATTATGGCAATGGAAGACCTGGAGTTGTTCCTGATTTAAGGAGAAAAGCGTTTTTCACACTTAAGTACATGAATTGTGGATTTCACTTCCTAGATTGAGGTTTCTAAGGTTTGCTGAGTTTTCATCATGAACAGATGTTGAATCCTGTCAAACAGTTGTCCTACTTGATCATGTTTTATCATTTCTTCAATTACTATGGTGCAATACATTGACTTCTGGGTATTTTATGAAGTTTGAAGCCATAGAACACCAACATTTGGCCCTAGTATAGAACCCTATTTGTTGCTGGATTCAGTTTGTCAATACTGTGTTTTCAAGTCGGTCTTTATGGGCTTTAAATAGATGTATTTTGAAATTATGTCTCTTCACGGTTTGAACTGCACATCATGCCTTTTGCTGCCTTGTGCTTTCACTTTCATTCATTTAGCATTTACATTTCCCTTGAGATTTCTTCAATACTTGAATTTAGAAGTGCTAATTTTCAAATAATTTTGGATCTATAAAATTTGACCTGTACTTCCAATTTCAACATGGTTGGAGAAGACACTTTATTACTTCAAATCTTTTAAATTCATCAAGACTTGTCTTATGACATGACACATGGTCACTGCTGCAGAATTCTCTGGGTTACTAGAAAATGTATTCTGCTATTGGTAGGTGGTGGTGTCAGGGCAACTTACATGTTTTACTCTCTCTTACATGTTTTATGATTGGTCGTTTTTGAGTAGGGTTTCAAAATCTCTATTCTTGTTAAACTGTCCCTTCCAATTGTCACTTTCATGTACTGGACATTGTTAGGTATGTATACATTTATACTTCCCTAATATTTTAATTATGTTCATTATGTGCAGGGTGTGTGTGACTGCAGGTGAAAAGCAGACTCCAAAAGAGGGTGTTGTAGCCCCCAGAGCTGGAGTTGCAGGTGGTTGTGAGCAACTTGACATGGGTGCTGAGAAGCCAATTTGGGTCCTATACAAAAGTAGCATGTTTTCTTAACTGCTAAGCCATCTCTCCAACCCCAAGGTACTCTTTACTTATTTTGGTGGTGCTGAAGATTGAACCTAGGGCCTCACACATGCAAGGTAGCCATTCTACCACTGAGCTATACCCCAGCACTTCCCCATTATCTTGACAGTTTTATCATTCAGCATATTCTACACAATTCTCATTATACTTATCTCAAAGCCCGCTTTGATACTACTATGGGGTTCCCAGGTATCCTTACTGTTGATGCATTGTATTTTCCCACAGACTCACCTCTACACTATATCTGAATCTAAAGTGCCTCTGTAAGCATCTCACAGCTGATACTCTTCCTGAGTTATACCATTTATAATTTGGGGATTTTGTTTTGAGACAAGCCTTGACACACACACACACACACACACACACACACACACACACACACAAAACACCAGACTACTTCCAATTCCACATCCTGTATGCTAGACTTACAGGCATGTGTCACTGCATCCAGCTGGTCATTCACGTTTTAATGAAATTTAGTTAGACTTGTGCATGCCATTCTGCAAGTGCCTCTGATGTCTAGAGCCCTTTTGTGTTCTGCCTTTTATGTTAAATTTTTGTTTTGGCGGGAAGGAAGGGTTTATTTCATCTTATGCTTCCAGTTCACAATCCATCACTGAAGGAAGTTAGAGAAGGAACTCAAGCCTGAGCAGAGGCAGCAGCCATGGAGGAGGGTTTCTTACTGGTTTTCTCCCTCTGGCTGGTGCTGAGCCACCTTTACTTTTAATTGAATTTTTGTGATTTTCATACAATATAGTTTGATGGTGTTTAGATCCCCTCCCATTAAATATTTTGACTACCATTTGTGGTTATTCCAACTTTATTTTCTGAGTGATACTTTAGTGGTTGCTCTAGAAATTGCAATAATACTTCATCTCAATCACAATCTTCTTCAGACTGATGTTCACATCATCTCAATAAAACAGATTTGTTCCAATACTGTCCATTTCCTAACCTCTTCCTTTGTGCCACTATAGTACACTGTCTATGTTGTAAACCCAACAGTGTAGTGTTAACTACTGCTTTATACAATTTACTGGAAACATAAACTTACTGTTGTAGGTCGGTGATGCCTCACATTCTGTTACTAAATCAAACATGGTGCTACAGTGAATAGATTCCATAATAAATGAGAATTACTAAACTGGGACGCTATCCTAGATTGTCTTGGAAGGCCCAGGGGAAAGCTGAAGAAAGAGACGCAAAGGGTGATCAGAGAAGGAACATGTGAAACAGCAACAGCTGTGGCCAGCCTGGATGATGGAAGAGGGCCACGAGACGGAGCGCGAGTGGCTCCTAGATACTAAGAATGACCCCAGCAGTGATCAACCGAGCAAAGGAAAACTCAGTCCCACAACCTCATGAAACTGTGGATTCTGCAAATTGACCAAGTCTGGGAGTTTTGTTACCTTTGGCTCTAGAAAAGAATGCAGCCTCCGGCACTTGAAGAAAAAAAGTAATTTATTTGCATTGCTTCCAATTTTCTACTGTAGTGTTAGGATTTAACATAAGCATCACTCTCCTATTTCCTATTTACAGTTCATTTGGAATATTACTACAAACACAATGTACAATTTTTAAAAACTTATGGGGAAATGAAGTTTACAGGCTTTATAGGCTTCTCAAAATCATTCAAATGCAATGAAGTTTATATGGACATCTGTACATATCAGAAAGGGTAGAGATCACACCAAGAGAGACAAAAAATTTTTGCACAAACAATACAGTACCATTTGAGTAACTTAGCAACATATAATACTCATACTTTATAGAAATGAAACTGCAAACCTGGAGAATGCATTGACAAATATTAGACATTATATACACAATGAGGTAAAGTACCTTGGTCTCTTGAGAGGTAATTTCAGTTTAAAGCAAATGACATTTGAAGCATCTTCTTGACATATAAAGAAATATCAAACACCCCATTCCATTGGCACAATGTGAAAAGGGAGTATCAAAACAGTTCATGATATTCAATTCGAAAATCTTGTTAAAAAATAAAAAAAAATTCACTTTAAGTTTTAAGAAAGAGGTCGAATGTTATTAACAGCATTAAAAAAATTTTATGTTTACAAATAAAGATTGCATAACAGGATTGAAAATAATGTACTGACATCCTCAGCCTTCCTAGAGAGGCGCATGGGAATTCCAACATCCAAGCATGAAGCTGCTTGTCTAGAGCTCTTCTTCAGAATCTCAAACATGCCAACCTTTTTTGCTGAACTGTAACAGAACCATTATTTGGAATCATGATTTCGAGCCAGAACACTGCCATGATCAAGAAACAAATGAAATGATTTACAATTGATCTTTCAGTGAATGGAGTAAAAAACAAAAACTTTTGATATATCTTATAGGCAGATTTGAGTGTGCATGTTAATTAGTATTTTGTCATTGGTTTTCCAAATGTCTGCATTTAACAGTATAGAGAAAAGGGACAAAATATATATGGGATTGCAACATGGTCAAGTGACCACTTTAATTTTGCAGTGAGAACTGAGAACTGCATTCAGCCTCAGGTACTTATTGAGCACTACATCACAGCAGGATCACAGGCTCAGCTCTTCAGGCCTACAGCAGACACAACTGGCCATATCTTCTGAGGCAACTCCCTCTGCCACAGCTGCCCCATTGCTGCTGCCCCATTCCTTACCCATAGCTGAAGTCAAAGCAGGGCTCCCAGCAGGAGCATCCAAGGCTTCATCTCTCACTCTCCATACTTGCACATACCTCCCTGCCACAGTCAGTGACTCAAGGAAGTAGAACTATGTCACATTTACATTCTAGGTCTCAAAAGCAACTCTTCAGTCAAAGGCTGGAGTGGGGTGGGGGCAACAGGCTCTGGGCCAGAGGCCAAAGCAAGGCAGGTTGGGAGGAACAGACCTGCAAATGTAAAGGATGACAGAAAAGTCTGTGCCCCAGTAAGTCAGACTTCCCTCCTCATGGTCCAGGGCACTGACCAGATGATATGGGCAGGTAATCTGTAAGAAGATATGTTCTGGCCACACTAAATTTTGGAAGGTGAGCATCTTGAATGGGCAATAAAAACAAGGAACTGTATTATAAAATGACAAATAAAAGGATGTGTCTGGTCAAACTTATCTACAGGTATGGCCACAGTTATCACAACCATTTCAGCTTTTAAGTTACTTTAATATTCTATTATTTTCATATTCTATATTAGCCAATTGGGGCTCATTACACTATCCCTAGACAGCCCCCCCAATAGCTGCAGTAACATGTAAACTCAATTTAGAACTAAATTCCAACTTTACAAAAAAATAATTCCCTGATTTATCAAAAGTACATTTTATCCACTTAGGCAAGAACAGTGTAACTGTCCCTCAACCTCTGATGTAATACAGAATATCTTTAGCAAAAACTTATTTTCTTAAATGAAAGTGAAAAACTGTGTATTACAACTTTAACTCAGACAACTTTTGGTATGTTCTTAAAATTATATAAAAATAGTTTTAGTGATAAAATGCATTGGTCCCCTGGATTTCATAAAGCAGATCTCATAGGCTTAGAAATGGAAACAAACAAAAAAACAAACCCCAAAGTACCTGATGACAGAAGCAGAGATTATTAAGCAGGTAGCATAACACAGTCATAACAAACAAACCTTTCAAACTTACTTTGATGAAATCATAATTACCAAAAGAACTCAAATTTGTAGTCAACATATTAACTTCTAAGTACATTTTTCCCATAATGGTTTTGAACGCATGAAATTGACACTAAATTCTTATGTAACATGTCATTCATCCTAAAATTACTTTGGTTTTAAGACCAAATAGTCTTCAAATTTATTCTAGGTTTGAGATAGGACCCAAGCAGTGTGTAGCTCAGCATCAACAGTCACAATCTTTTCTCCGCTAAAACAAAGGTTATTCTGACCTTTTTATCTAGGAATTGATATCACTGTGGTCAAGGTCTTGCCTCAAGCTCTAATAATATTTTCCCCTTCAGAAGATCACAGTGATAAAAAGGACTCAAAGTAAAAGCCCTGCAAAGACTTTGCAGCACTGGAAGAACAACCCAGTTGTTCACCAACTAACTGCCACATTGGGCACAAAGACTCCAACAGGCCCACTTTGAACACCTGCCTGAAAACATCTATACAGGGAGAGCTCAGAACGCCCCTTTGTTACCACCTCTCACAATTAACAAGGGTGCATTGAATTCAATGTCACCATGTAAATCAAACAGTTGCAATATCTACACGTATGACATAAAAAAGACTGAATTAAAAGCTGCCTTCCTCAAAGTATAGTGAGACCTCAATGCCACACTAACTCCAACCTCCTCAGGACAGAAAATTCACTAGACACGCATACCTACGTAACATGTGACAGTCACATACACTTCTCTGTCTATTCAAATTAACTGCCTCTGTCTTCCTAGGAAAAGGGCTATCATCTGACATTAACCATATTTGAATTTTAAATGTAATTCATTTCTTAAAAAAAAAAAACACTGTTTTTGATCAGATATAAGGAAAAAAAAATTGATTCCAGAATACCACACAACTTTCCACAAGCAGCTAGACAAAGTTTCCCTTCCAGAAAAATTAGTCTGTATGCTCAAAGGTTAAGTCATTCAAGCGCTTATAAGCATCTAGAGTGGTGCTTGCCTTTTTAAAACACACTCGACAATACCACTATCTGCAAAGCTCAATGTGAGAATATCCCAAAATGACCAGGATAACCATTACTAATTAATGCCACTGTGTTTCTTTAGTGGTTCAAGCACATTTTGGTAGGAAAAAGGCATTTTGAAAATAGAATACTGACTGACATCTACTACAAAAACTCTTAAAAAACAAAAACAAACCTAAAAAAAGGTTTAGGTTACCCAGATAAATAAACTTTTTGAATTGAAACACTACAGGATAACACAGAGACTTTAAGTAACTCTATTCATTTCCATTAGAAAGACACAGAAGTGGCACTTACTGGTACAGTACAAACCCGCTGTGAAGGCATGTCATGTTCTGAATGTGAAAGAACAATAAAAGTATACAAAATAAACTGCATAAATTACGTTCCTCGCTACCAGATGAGGTCATCTTTAGACACAAGAGTTTTAAGTGTTAGTTTAAGATCCTGAAAAGTTAGAGAACAGTACATTCAAAGTGAACAAAGGAAACTTTAGTGGTTCAGAATCCTCTGAGAATGTACTAACCAGGAGTAGGAATAAGAAGCGCGTCATCCGACGCAGCACTGCAGCTCCTTCACCCTTACAGCTGACCATCAGCATAGCAGTTACCCAAAGACTCATCTTTAAAAAAAAAAAAAACGAACAAGTTTTAATACAAAACAAAGGTAAACTACACCAACATTTTGTAATCGTCCTGGGAAAGAAGCATTCATAGTGCACAGAAAGAACCCACGTAGCTGCTTCTGGGCCCCAAGAAATCCTGGGAAGCTTTCAATTGACCTTATTACACTGCTGCAAAAGGAAGCAATCTCCTTCTGTTCTCTCAGTGAGGTAGAACAATTGACCTCCCAAATGCAAAAAACCCAGGAGCAGATCTGAGGAAAAAAGTTCCAGCAAAGCTGCAGAACTACATTTTGATGCCTTCCTGTTGACTGAGCTGTGACAATGTTTTTTTAATCCGCAAAGCTGTCAGCCTAGCTGCTCCATTGGCATACCAACATTCTCTCATAATTTTAGCCATCACTCGCAAGGCCTACAAGAAAATAAAAGAAAAATCATTAATGTACACATGCCATGAAGCTAGATTAAGATTTTTTTTTTTTTTGGTCTTTTTGAGACAGGATCTCTCTGTAGTCCTAGCTGCCCTAGAACTCACTACGTAGACCAGGCTGGCCTTGAACTCACAGAGATCCGCCTGCCTCTGCCTCCCGAGTGCTGGGATCAAAGGTGTGCGCCACCACACCCAGTCTAGATTAGTAATTTTTATCGGTAAATTTTCATTTAAAATGGTGTATGTGTAAGATTTCCTTTCTAGTATTGTCACAGAAAATGAATAGAAATAACTTCAGTTTCCACTAAGATGCTGGTGCTGGCTACCTGGAAAGGTTGTGAACAGGGGAAACCACAAAAGGCTGAATCCTATAAACCAGCACTGAGCTGGAGAAAGAACCTATGCCACACTGAGACTCCAATTCGAGAAATTCCATTTTGAAGTCCTTAGAGAACAAAGATTAGGGTAAAAAAATGGGGAGAAAAGCTCCCCGCCTACCCCCAACTTTACACGGTGGATAACTGGACACCTCTCTACGCCAGAAGACTGGACGGAGTATTCTTATATGAGAGAACACAGCTCTGGTTCAGGAACACGAAAGCAGACAGCTGTTCCACACTGGAAGCATACTGAATGTGGATAGTATAAGCTTTCTCACCCAAACATAGGTAGCACCTTGTACATGTTCTTATGGGTAGAAGACTGAAAGAATCTTCTCTGGAGATTTGGGCAGTCCAAGAGAACAGACCTGAAAAGACTGCCAGTGACTTTCTAAGAAAGCAACCAAGAGAGATCACAGATCACCTTAAGAGGACACCAGTAAGCTCCAGTCACATGTGTAGGTACCAGCTTCCAGGTCCTCTTTAAAAATAGACTGAGTCTAATCATACAGTTGAGAAACATGAAAACAGAGAAACTAAAACCAATAGAAAATGGAGACAGAGAACAAATCAAAAATCTATTGTTAGTGGGTAGGGGTGTGGCAGCTCAGTGGAAGAGCATAGGCCCAATATGTGCAAAGCCCTGGGTTCAGTCCCCAGTGCCACCACTACAAAAACAAAATACCGCTATTCATTATTGTATTTTGCTTGACTTTATTTTGTGTGTATACAGAGCCTCTCTAAATTGTTTCACTCTTTCCCAATGTTTCTTTCGGTTCCTGTATTCTGTATTACAAGTATTCTTCAAATGTCTAATAATACTGTTTTGTAAGCAGTGAACAGGAAGAACAGAGAACAAGCAAATACTTCTGGAAATTTAAATTATGAGAGCAAGGAAAAGGGGGTGTGGGAGAATGAGACTATAAACAGGAAAACAGAAGTGGATGATGAAACTGCTAAACTTCCCAGAAAGTAGAGAAAAAAAGACAGAAAAGAAAATTAGAGGGGTTGAAGAGTTGGCTCGGCAGTTAAGAACACTGACTGTTCTTGCAGAAGACCCGGGTTTGAATACCAGCACCCACATGGCAGCTAACAACTGTCCATAACTCCAGTTCTAGGGGATCTGACAGCCTCTTCTGTCCTCTGCGGGCATTGGACTTACCTACATGCAGGCACAACACTCATACACATAAAATAAAAAAATAATAAGTAAAATATTTTAAAAAATTAGAGAGCAGGTGGTCTAATCTTCAGGTAACCAGTGATGAAGAAAAACAACAAAAGAAAATGGAAGGAAGGCTATCCTCAAAAATATATGCTTCCAGATTTAAAGGAGCACATGCCAAGGTATACTCACACTTCATTTAACAATACTATTTGAATACCTGTCATAAGGAACACCAATGCCACTGAAGGTGTTAAAAGATATAGCAGTGAACAAACTGATGAAACCCCTGACCTCATAAAGCTTACATTCCAGAGCTAAGCCACAGAGCAAATTATTGTAAAATATCTCTCTCTCCAGGGAATGGTAAAATGCTAAGGATAAAAATGATTTTTTAAAAACTGTTTTAAATTTACTTTTATTTCATGAGTGTTCTGCCTGCCTGCATGCTAAGTGCACTTATGCATGCACTGCCCACAGAGGCCAGAAGAAGGCATCAGATGCCCTGGAACTGGCGTTAAGGATGGTTGTTAGTAGTCATGTGGGTGCTGGGAACTGAACCTGGGTCCTCTGCAAAAGCAGTCAGTGCTCTTAACTGCTGAGCCATCTCTCCATCCCTGAGAAAAATAATTTAGGGGCAATAAAACATGCCAGAGGAGGAAGTATACTTTTAATAGGAAGACAAGTAATGTCTAATTTGATCAGACCTAAAAGAGAGGAGCAAATAGAATTCCAAGACAACTGGCCTTGAGAACAACTAGTTACAACTGGAAACAGAGTGAAGGCTCTAGAAGAGACATTTAAGTATTTATCAGGGGTGGGTGGGGGTGTGTGTGTGTGTGTGTGTGTGTGTGTGTGTGTGTGTGTGTGTGTACATACACCGGTCCATACCTATGCATGTGTTGCTGGCAGCTGAACCTAGGGCCTCACACTCACTGCAGGCACTCTAGCACTAAGCTGTACTGCAAGTCCTGTAGGGTATTTTTCAGTTATTCTGAAATAGGGTCTTACTAAATTACTCAGCCTGGTCTTGAACTAGCTCTGTAGCCCAGGCAGACCTTGAGCATGCAATCCTTCTGCCTCAGTCTTCCAAGCAGCTGAGATTACAGGCCTATACCAATAACCTCAACCAGTTTCATATTCTTGATACATTTCAACTACTAAGAGATTTTTAAACCCTAGAAAAGTAAATGAAATACTGACAAGTGTATAGAAAACTAATGAAATCGAGAAAAAAATAAAAACGGTAGTAATTCAACATGACAATAGTAACTATAAACTGCACATGTTCTTAATGTTAACTAATTTCTTTGTGCTTAAAAGCCATCTGTCTATAATAAAGTGCTTTCATTATTAAGGAGCACATGAGTACTTCAAATCTGTATACTTACGTATCCAGATAAAAGTTTAGAAACATATTCTCATTTTCAAGCTATGTCACATGAAAATTCTCAGAGTACACAGCACTTTATCTCCTTCTGGGCCTAGATATTTTGTAGAGGTAGCATACTGGGCATGGTGGTTCAAGCCTTTGATCCCAGTACTCTAGAGACAGAGGAGGTGGCTCTTTCTGAGGCCGAGGCCAGCTTGGCCTACAGGGGAGTTCTAGGACAGTCAGGGATACACAGTGAGACTGTCCCCCCAACAAAAAAAAACCCAAAAAGAAAAAAATATCCTTTCTCTTCCTTTCCTTTCTTCCAAGTAATGTGCTATTAACATGTAGATATGTATCCCACCTGAATTCTTTTTCTATGAATGCATGTATTTGGTACTTTTAATTTTCAACAATGCACAGCAGAGCTTTATAAGAGTTACCACATTATGCCAGGCATAGTGGTGCACTCCTTTAATCCCAGAGGCAGAGGCAGGTGGATCGCTCTGAGTTTGAGGCTAGCCTGGTCTATACAGAGAATTCCAGGCCAACTGGGGCTACAGAGAGACCCTGTCTAAAAAGACAAAAAAAAAAAAAGTTATCACACTACAAAAGAGACTTCCCTGAAATCATGATTCCTCAAGGCCCCATTCAGTGATCTTTTTAGTTGTTATTGTTTTGAGATAGGGTCTTATGTACCCCAGGATGGCCAGGAACTGGAGAGGCTGAGGCTGAGCTGGGACTCCTGATTCTTCTTTTCCCTTTGGAGTACTGGAATTCAGGCTTGTGTGCCACCACCACAGCTTAAAGTGGTGCTGGAGATCAATTCCTGGGCCTCTGGTATATAGGCTAGCACTCTACAAACTGAGCAACATCACTAGCTCTTGATATCAGTGGCTCTGTGGAGTTCTAGATTATTTTAAAATGTAAAAATTACTGAAGTGTCCAGCTTATTTATTCATTTATCCACTTACATTATGAAACTTCAAATCTTGGAGGCCTTCCCTGTTCCACCAGTATCATAAAAGCAACAGATGGCAATGAAGGTCAGACTCAATTAATTTGTCTTATGTCTTAAATTTACAGTTAAGAAAGCATTTCTAACATTCTGTAAGTGCAGGGGATGACATAATCAGACACTGTTGGAACCATTTTCCCCAAACCTTGATAAACAGTCCTTTAGTACCATCTGAATCTCTTTGCCATGATCTTCTCCAAGTCCCTCACTTCACAGAGGAATGTTCAGTTCCTAAGACTGATGTGACCCATTCAAAGTCCATCTCTAACATGGGGGCAGGCCTGTACAGACAGGCCTCCTCATTCCTGTCATACACAGTACGCTGGGCTGCACTGGCTGAAGGGAGGTAGTCATTTCAGTGGCAGGTGTCTCATTTCAGTTGACAAATCTAATGATGTTCAGATAGGCAACTGCCCACTGCCGATGTTTGACCCTTTTACTGCTCTTAAAATTGAACATGAAATGCAAATTATTTTATTTTTATTCATTTAAACTATGAAAAAGAAAAAGGAATTCTAGCATTTTTTTCCTTATAGAAAAATGGCAAATTTCCGCTTACTGAGTAGAAATGGTCTAGAAAACAGCCTAGTATTAAAAAAAAATACTCACTTCACAGCTCTGCCATCTGTTTGGAATATTTGGCCTTAACTTCTGTTCACAAACCACTTTTCTCATTTCTTCAACTGATGGATCAGAAGGTACAAGATCATAATAAGGTAGCTGGTAATCTTCATGAATTCCTATATTGGTTTAGAAAAAAAAAATCCATTAAAAAAAAAAACTAATCAGCTACTATGACATCACTGGTATTAACTAATTGAGAGTCCATTACAGTTGCCTATCACTGAATCAGGCAGGTGAAGTAAGGCTCAGGGCTTTATCTAATCTATATGTGCATTAACAACCCACCCACCTGAGGCATCACTGGGCTTGCACTTTTGTGAGAGTTAGTGCTGTCAATGTGACAAAATCTAGAATGACCTTGCAGATGGGCCTCCAGGCATGTCTTTGGGGATTATCTTGATGTGGGAAGATTCATCTTGGTTGTGGACAACACCATTCACTGGGCAGGGGATCCTGGACTGTGTAAAATGAAGAAAGCTAAGCACTGGCATGCTCTCACTGCTGAACTATAGATGCAACGTGACCAGGCTGTCTCAAGCTCCTGCCACTGCAATTTTCCTGCCCTGACACACTGTAATCTGGAACTGTGAGCCAATACAAACCTTTTCTCCCTTAGGCTGCTTTTGCCAGAGTATTTTAATCACAGCAACAGGAGAAAAAACTAAGACAACTTTGAAACTAAATATTGCCGTTAAATGAATAAAAGGCTATTTCTTTGTTCTGTTTGAGATAGAATTTCACTATATAGGCCTGATTGGCCTGGAGCTCACAGAGATCCACCCGTCTCTGGCACACAAGTGCTGGGATTAAAGAAGTGGGACACCACACCTAGCTATAAAGGCTGTTTTTAACGATGGCTAACTTTGTGCTGTGATGACCAGGTTTCCATTGTTACCTTATAAATTTATTAGGCAAAAAATGAGATTTTATTATGTGATTGTACTCTCTTACTGGATGCCAAGGATATATACACTTATCAATGAGGTACGAATCCAGCAGGACAAGCATGAAGCACAAGTCCCTTCCTCTATTTGTACCTGTCAATAACATGTCCTATTTACTACAGTACCAAAACATACTCTTCCCTCACTGCCTCAAAAACCTGAGCCCCCAAGTCTTAGTCAAGCCTAGATCCCTAAGCCACTGCCTTATAAGTAAACACCAACAAGTAAGTGCTCACTCTATTATAAAACCTAAAAGTTAAAACAAAATCTAAAAAATAATGCACAAGTCCCTTCCTCTATTTGTACCTGTCAATAACATGTCCTATTTACTACAGTACCAAAACATACTCTTCCCTCACTGCCTCAAAAACCTGAGCCCCCAAGTCTTAGTCAAGCCTAGATCCCTAAGCCACTGCCTTATAAGTAAACACCAACAAGTAAGTGCTCACTCTATTATAAAACCTAAAAGTTAAAACAAAATCTAAAAAATAATGAAAAAAAAAAAAAAAAGTTTCACCCAGGTCCAAGCAGCTTCTCAGAGACCTCTTAAAGCAAGAGTCTACTTAAATAATTACAATTCAGCACAACAAGAGGCTGTATTCTGAAACTGCCTGCGACAATAGGAGATAACACTGGGTAAAGTTATCTTGTGTGTTGATGTGATCTGGTCTCCTTTGTTTCCTTTGGCATCCCCAGTGATCACCTGTCAGACTGCTGGCTACAGAAGTCTAATCAATAAAAAAAGGCAATTTCTGAATAACTTCTGCTCATGACAAACTCTTAAGGGAAAGGGGAGCAATTTACCACCAATGGAACATCGTCGAGCAATTTCCCAGAACACTAAGCCCATTGCATAGATGTCAGCACGTTTGAAGGATTCAAAATGTTTCATATTTATGGAATCATCTAGAACTTCAGGGGCCATGTACCTAAAAAAGAAGCCAACATTTTATTTTACCCATGGTAACCACATTATTTATGAACTGTTTCATAGGTTTTCTTTTACTTTGAGGATCTATTAACTTTCTCTCCTTTTACCATGGTTCTGTTGTTTTTAAACTCTTCACCGCTCTTACAAAAATTTCTCCAAAATTTGTACATACAGTGCAAGCGAAAAATCATTCCCTTACCACCAGAGTTAATGTTTGGATCAATTCTTTCAGACAGTCCCTATACATAGTCATGTACATAAAATATTATATAACTGAGATCACATTAGATTCAAGCTAAATATTAAATATCTCAACTGCCTTGCAAATTAATGATGCTGACTAAATCCATGAAATGCTGAAAGGGCAGTTTCATGCCATCTGCCTTCTGATCATGGTTTATGAAAGACACACACAAAACAGCTGTGACTGTTACAAACACCGAATGTACTATTTAGAGACCACATATTTCAATCTGGAAATCTTCTCACTAAAGTGATGAAAAAGGGCAGAGACACACTACAGAGAACAAACCAAAAGATAAAAGCAACATCAGTCCTAATACTAATGTTATATACAGGGTTCTGAAGTTTCAAAAACTGCTACAGTTACAGATCAGAAACCAATGACCTTCAGAGGCTACTTCTGAGGATCTCTTAACCATTCATGAGTTCCGAGAGTCGACATGGAATTCAGAGACTATAATCTGTACAGTTTAGAATGACTAATGCTGCTGTCTTTCTCCAAGTTCAAAGCAGAGGACCTGGGTTTGATTCCCAGCACCCACATGGCAGCTAACAACCACCCACAACTCCAGTTCCAGGGGAACTGAACACTCTCTTCCGACCTCTTGTGCATTGCACAACACCAGTGCACTTACATACATCCAGAAAATACACTCACACACATACAAATAATAGATAAAATATTTTTGTAAAAAAAGAAATGTTGTGATGGGATTTATAAACACAGTAAGCACTTTGTGTCTGGCATCTCAGCATTCCATACATATGAAGTTGGTCATGCTATTTAGCCTCCACAAGTTGGTTTTCTCATCTGAATTAATGGTGATGACCCCTATCTAATCAGTTCTGAGAACCCCTTATTTATTAAGGTGTATTAGGCACTATGATGGCTAATAGGACAAGACTACTCTCAAGCTGCTTGCAATCCAACAAAAAACACAAAGACACATAAATGGACAGTTAGAATGTAATGTGAGAACACAGAATGGTAACCGTCTCAATAGTCACAGATCAGTGTGTGCGACAGCCCTCAGGAGGAACATGCAAGGATCCTGAGGACCAATAAAGGTTTCCAATGAAAAACGAGGGAAATAAGTTAGGGAACCATCAGGGAAGGTAGGTTTTAGGACACAGTGCACGCGTGCGCAGACAGGTGCACGCACACACACACAGACACACAAGTTCTAAGGAAGAACAGCTTAATTTCAGCATTAGAAAATATGAAAACAGGCTCGCTTTAGCACAGCATTTGAGGAGGGCTATAGATTACTATTAGTTATTATTGCTTGTACAATTAACCTTGTTAATGGTACTATTTTCTGGAGGGTCTGCCTATCATCACCAGGCATGTTTTCAGGTAGCTTTCTTTGGCTTTAGAGCAGGAAAGACCTTAAGAATGTCTACTTGTGAAAATTCTAATAAAGGAACAAGTTTGAGTTTCAAAAGATATGCATACAGAAATAAGAAGAATAAGAAGTGGACTTCAGGAGCTATTAAATACTGTTTATGCACAAGTGTACCTTTTAGTTCCCACTCTGTGATTTGGAGCAATATCAATTGTATCTGTGGCTGAATCGTGCCTTACAGCCAGTCCTAAGTCTGCAATGCAGCAGGTCCCGTTCTTCTTTACCAAGATATTCTTTGATTTCAAATCTCTATGGGCAATAGCTGGTTTTCCTAAGAAACCAAAAATTAAAAAAGACTGCTTAAGTAGTGATGCCAATTACAATTTTCACCTTTAGGTTCAAACACCTCTCCAGTCCCGGGATGAAGGCATATCATCTAGAACACCTAGGCTATTACTAACTTCAGTGAATTACGAAGCCAAAAGGTGATGGAACTCCTCCTTTAAAGAACATGGAGAGAACAAGATGTTCCAAAAGACAATTCTCAAACAACATAAATCTAAGAGCTAAAAGCTGAGGGCAAAAAGTGTTTGCTGGTATCTGACAAATTCTTTTACAAAAACTCTAGTTACAGACTAATATTCCAATCCAGAGACCAAGCATGTAAATTACTTGCCTTTCCTATCATTCCTTGAATGTAATCAGTAGTAAACCTATTATCCCTAATATTAACTGGAAAGTAATATTAATAGTTACAATGTGGAAATCATGGAACACTCATACAACTGGAGGTTACCACATGATCTAGACATTCAATTCTTAAGTATATATACCCCAGATAAATGGAAAAAAAACCCAAATGTTTATCAACTGAAGACAGATATACAAGGTATGATATATTCATAAAATGGAATCTGGTCATAAAAGGAAGGAAATACTGGTAAGCACTACAGCACTGGTGAACCCTGAAAACATTTAAGTGAAAAAAGCCATGGGCCAGTGAGATGGCTCAGAAAGCAAAGATACTTGTGCCAAGCCTGATGGCCTGAGTTCAATCCCTAGGATTCACATGGTGGAGAGAACCAACTCCCCAAAGTTATCCTCTGAGTATGCACATCTCCCTCCCCAAACCCACACAATAAATAAAATATGCAATTAAAAAATTTTATTAAAAAGCAGTCATTAAAGACTTTATATTGTATGATTCCACTTATGTAATATGTGTAGAACAAGCAAAACTATACAGGCACAAAGCAGATTCTTAGTTGTCCAGGCCTACAGAGTTTGGAGAAATGGAGAGAATAACTGCTAATAACTATCGGGCTTCTTTTTGGAGAGATAAAAATGTTACAAAATTGACATTGTGGTGGCAATGTGGTGGTGAATTACCACTGTGGTGGTAAATCCACAACTGAGTATTCTAAACACCAAGAATTGCATACTTTAAATGGATGAAAATGTATGCTATTGAATTACAATTCAACATACTGCTATAATCAATCAGAGATGCAGCTGGCTAATATGTGAAATGAAACATGTCGCAGGGTGGGAGTGGTTGAGTCATCAGAATATTAACAGAGAGCAGTTAGGCAAAGAGGTCGATTAGCACCTGACATCCTGTACTATATAACTAGATAAGCATAACATTATTGTCTATAGAAATCGGGTCCTTCATATGAATCAGTAAGAGTAAGACTGAAAAAACAAGGCAACTATTAAGAAGAAAATAGGGCTTAGGAGATGGCTCAGCAGGTAAATACATTTGACACCACACCTGATGACCTGAGTTCAATCCCTGGAATTCACATGGTAGAAAGATAAAACCGACTCTTGTAAGTTGCCCTCTGAGACACACACACACACACACACACACACACACACACACACACTTTTGTTTAAAAAAATAAATAATAATAAACTAAGTAAGTGTATAATTATAGACTACAATGAAGAAAGGATGTTGAGCATAGTGGTACAAGACAGCAATCCTAGTACCCGAGAAGTGGAGGCAGGAGAAATCAGTTCAAGGTTATCCTTGGCTACCTAGTGATTTTAAGGTCAGGCTGGGCTATGTAAGGCACAGACTCTACAAAAATAAATAAATAAATAAACAAACAATAAGTGAATACATAGAAGACTGAATGCTACTTTTAGGATCTCACAAGAGTATCAGTGTTATTGCAATGACTATACAATAGCTAAACAAATTCCCAGATTTCTGAAATTTTCATTAGAAAAACATTCTAATTTTAAAATTTTACATATCTCCAGTTGGCCTAACTTTTGAATACATATTAGATTTATTGGAACTTAAAGAATAAATAACAGAACTGTTGAAAGTATTACCTTGGGTGCCAACAATCTCCATGTGAAGATGGGCAAGACCACTTGCCGTGGACAGAGCAAGTTTGATCATTCCTTCCACAGTAACTGTGTATCTGTTCAGGTAATCAAAAAGGGATCCATGCTCATGATAATCTGACACCAACCAGAGCTGAGTCCATGTACCATTGTCTGCAAATCAGAATAACCATGTTTCATTTGGGCTGTAGAACATTTATAGCTTAGTCAAAAGTTACTGCTTTTTTTTTGGTCTTTTTGAGACAGGGTCTCCCTGTGGCCCCAGCTGGCCTGGAACTCACTATGCAGACCAGGCTAGCCTCGAACTCACAGACCTCCACCTGCCTCTGCCTCCCAAGTGCTGGGATTAAAGGCATGCGCCACCAAACCTGGTCAAAAGTTTATAGCTTTTTACTATGTCAATTTACATCTGTATTTACTTCCTATACTTTTATGTTCATATCTTTTAGACCCTCAGAGTAAACCCCTTTTTTGAGATAAAGCAAGGATAAATAAGCCCATTTAAGAGACAAGGAATCATATTTCAGTAATGTTGATTTTCTTCAGCCTCCACTGATAGTAGGAGGGCTGGGACTCCTCGGTGCCTAGAAAAATACCTGGGTCAGATTAGGTACCCAGTGTCTATTCCTGGAAAGGAGGGCAATGAGGAAAGGAAGGAGATGAGATACACTAGGGGAGCCCAATGTGGTCTTAGTCGGTATAGAACAGTATGTGACAAAACTGAAGTGAGCTTCAGTAAGAAGTAACAAGCTTTAGTGACGGACTGTATATACAGTTCACAAAGATATCAGACAAGATAATTACAATTTCAATGTTGCTACCTTAGAAAAACAAAAGGTATGGACTTTTGATCCTGAGACAGGAACTCAACTGTCAGGAAGATAAAAAGTTGAAAAGACTAGGACCAAATCTATTGCCTGTAAGGTGATTTGGAACCTAAACAACTTGGAATGTGGGTTTAAAAGTACCTTTGTAAGCTGATACATGAATTTGAAATGTGTTTTCTCATAGGAGTAATGGTAAGGATGCTAAGTTCCAAGGCAAAACTGGTCTACTAAATGCTATTAACTCAGAATTAGCTGGGAAAACATTTAATAAAATAACAAAGAAAGAAAAACAAAACAAAAAAAAGATTACAGCTTTAAGAGTCAGCAGAGTTGAGAAAAAGATGCACCCTGAGTCATTCTGACCCAGGCTGGAATCCAGGGTCTACGTGTTATTGAGTACATGACCTTAGACATGTTTCTTAATGGGCCTGTGTTTCTTCTTTCATACAATACCTTATTTTGAAGACTGTCAAGAAGATTTAAGCAAATACAGAACTAGATTTTCTTCTTAAAGCACTTAACACAGTGTTTGAGACATGAGAACTTAAAATGTGCTGTTCCTCTAGCTGTCAACAAAAGGAAAAAAACCCAAAGTGATAAATTTCATATTTTGTAGACTGTTACGTCAAGAAAAGCAACTCTGATTAGAAGAGATTAAGGAAGAAGATAGACTTCCGATTCTGAAGGGAATTTCCTGGTATTTCTAAAAGGACTTAAGAGATTAGTGAAGCTAACTGCTTTTTATTTTCTTTTTAAACTGTTCTTCACTGTATTTTATAGTCTGTCCAAACTTATACGTCTTATTTTTCTTGCTATAGGTGTATCACTAGCTTATGGTTTGAAAGGATCAAAAGCACAACAAATAAGAACATGGCAGATAAAGGAAAGGGAGATCTCCTGAGGTAGCTGACCAGAAAGGCAGAAGGAAGAGTATATAAGAGGCTGTGCACAGATCTGTCCAAGGGACCAGAGAAATGGCTCAGTGGTTAAGGCTCACAGTGTTCTTGCAAAGGACCTGAGTTTAGTTCCCAGCACTCATGTCAGGAAGTTCACAACTACCTTTAACTCCAGCTCTGGGGGTCGGGGGTAGGGAGAATGACACCCACACACAGACATAATTAAAATATAAATAAATCCTAAGAGAGCCATCCAAGGTAGAATTAGTTAAATCAAGAGGATGAAGACAAAGGAAAAAAGAATATTCAAGTCTAGGTTCTGAGTAAAGTCTATTAACCCCCTACTAAAGAACAAAGAAGAGGGTGTGGTGGTGCATGCCTTTAATCCAAGCACTTGGGAGACAGAGGCAGGCAGATCTCTGAGTTCAAGGCCATGCTGGTCTACATAAAGAGTTCTAGGATAGTCAGCTCTGCATAGTGAGACTCTGACTTAAAAAACCGAAACAGAAAAAAAGGGGTGATGAAAAGCCAGTTGGGTTAGTGAGTTCCCATGGTGATGACCAGGGACAGTACCCACTTGACTGCTTCTTAAATGAGACTTCAGGGCACAGCAGGTCCAGCATTTTTTTATCCTTGTGTTACAACTTGGAACATGCCTAATGCAAGCCTGAGAGGTGTTTTAAGTTTCAAAATGCAGATCTGAGAGTCACCAATGCGGTAGAATTTGAAGCCACAAATTCAGATAAGCCCTTTAAGGGATGGACTACTATTTGTAGAATTGGAGCCTTCTTACAAATCAGTAAGAAGAGTAAGGCTATGCAAATAAGACAACTATAAAAAATAAGGATAGGGGTTA